CTTTTGTAGAGTGAACAATTGTCGACTGTTAGAACTTGAAGACATTTTTTGTAAAGTTTATTCTTTGTTTTAATTGATTTAAGAAGAGCTTTCGTCAACCACGGTTTTTTAAAGCGCCTCTGCTTTTTAGTCGCCTTCTTGAGAGAGAAGCAATCGTTATAAATCTTTGTATACATTTCATGAAAGCGTTTGTACGTAATATCTGGCTCATCACAAGTTGAATTGAGAAGACGGGTAGATGATCTGAAATGTCAGTAAATAATAAGCCGCTTCTCGAACGTTCAAAAAAGTTGTTCGAAAAAATATTATCTATTAACGTAGCAGTATGTGAAGTAATTCTCGAGGGACGCGTAATCAAAGGAAAAAACATATTAGAGTACATTCCATCAAGGAATTGGCCTGTGAGGTGGTGATTTTGGTAGTTAATTAAATTAATATTAAAGTCCCCCATTAGGAAGCATATTTTGTTTTCTCTAGAGATATTACCTAACAACTCATTGTTTGTAGACAAGAAATCGTCGAGTCTATGATTTGGCGGTCTGTAAACAATACCAAAATTTTTTTTTTTTTCTCGAGGTCTTATTAATTCAATGAACAGTGATTCTACAGTATCAACATTATGGAGGGACAAATCTTCTCGAAGTTTGAACTCTAGATCGTTTGAAATATAAAGCCCTACCCCACCTCCAGTTCTATTTTGCCTATACTTGTGAAGAAATTTGAAACCATTAATATCGACCGAATGAGCAGAATCGTTTAGCCAGGTCTCAGAAATTCCGATTACAGAAAATTTTATGTTTAAGCATGATAGATAGTCAGTAAGCTTTACTAAATTATGAGGATGACTACGAATATTAAGATGTAGGAAAGAGAAATCGGCATCAGAATAATTTTCGCGTCTGAGCATTTCGTTGAATTGATTTTCAATAAAATAGTCGCAGGGTGTCTCAACTGCATTAAAATTAATGTCAGGATCAAGACTGCCAGACTGTGTCAAAGAAGCGTTTGAGTTTGAAAAAAACTGGATTGTAACGTAAGCTAGAAAATCTATCGGGATCAAAGTGAACAGGACCATTCTGCAGTTCATATAGCGCCAGAAAAAAGCTAGAATCGTCTAAACGATTAAAGGGCAGTACATCTGATAGCGAGTATTGTGTCACTGTAATAAACTTATCTAATTTAACCACTTATCTGCTTTAACCACGTCTGTCCTTTACAATCAATTTGTCCAATACAAAATACGCTATTTTTCCATTCCGCTTTGCTCCCTCCAGCTTGGGTCTCTGCTCTTCACGTTTATCAAGGGTCTCCTTAGCGAGATCTTCATTTACGTATAAACCGACAGGTTTAATTCTTCTTGTCACCTTCAATATTTGCTCCTTTTGCTTAAAGTCTCGAAGTTTGCACACAATTGTGCGAGGGCGTCTTCTAGAGAATTCAAGGCTTTGTTTGAATTCTTTTGTGTCCTTCTCATATGTTTAGGCGGGTCTTAAGTTCAGCCACAGTTCCAACCACTGTATCTAGTCGAGAATTGAAATTGCTCTCAAGCGAATCTACAAGGGTTTTAAACATCCTTTCTTGAAGCTGAAGCATCTCATTCAACATCGCCGTCGTTACAAATTCATTCGAGGGATTCTTGTCAGCGCTTGGTGAGCCGCCGGATGTCTTAGAATTACGTGTTTCTGGCATAATTTTAGTGCACAGGAAAAACAAAAATACTGACAAATCGATGAAATAGGCAAGAAAAAGAGCGAAATAATCAAAATACGAGGAGCTAAAAAATTAGCGTCCGCCCGCCGTAAATATGCAAATCATACGGGAATAACAGAAGAATCTTGATAGCAGTTGTATTTCATTTTGTAAATCCAGTACAAGTCAGCTTCAGCTATCAGTAAACAAGTTTCAAGATGCTGCATGAATTTTCCGTATAAACTCACGTGCTAGCTCGAAAACCTTACGGTTATCTAGCCGCTAGGCATTTCCTTCTATGTAATAATATTTAGTTTAAATTGTAATTGAATATTCTACGTGTTAAGTTACTAATTATTCAATAAGTTTGACAAACCCTGTAATGGAAATGTGAATAAAGTGTTGTTGTTGTTGTTGTTGTTGTTGTTGTCAAATTTTGACCAATCGGAGATAAAAATGCAATGTAGAGCGTGACCAACGTTTGACCTCCCTAAGCCATGCCAACTGCCTTCCCTGCCTGGAAAAACTGGCTGAATTTTCGCGTCCAAAGTCAGTTTGAAATCAAAATTTTTGTATAGTTCGGCTCATAAACACAATTTATTTCCTGTGCATTTTAAAAATTTGACCTTGAGCCTGCGATCAGTTAAAAACTAGTAACTTGTCAGCGGATAACTTCAAAGAAACACCCAAACACGACTGGTCTACACCTGAGCCCGTGATACGATCATGTGATACTCGTCAGCGGAAACGCTGTTTTGACTTGACCGCTGTCAATTCACCTCAACAAGGCCACGCGATTTCCCGCCAAGAAAAACGCTGGTTACCCAAAACATCGCACGTTTTCCCGCCAAGAAAATACAACATATCCCCCATCCGGTCGGGCTGACTCCTGACTCCCTTCCCTCTCCCCCAGCGTCTGTATGGACGGCAGGTCTACGCTGACGTCATAACCAAAATTTCTCGGATGGATAGATTACTAAATTTTCTTACCAATGGGGCTCCGCTCGGGCGCGAGTGGAACTCCGCTATTATGTTTCCTACTGTGGGTTGAAAGGTTGAAAAGACCCCCACAGAGAATGCAAAGATCTTTTTTAATGACGCAGAAGAATCCAAATAAAGGATTCCACAAAGATATGATAAGAAATGTCTCACTAAAATAGTTTTGGAAAATTCACCTCAAGCATCACCTGACATTCCTTGGACCATCACGTCACAAAACCTGTTTTCTCAAATGGGGCAAGGTTGTTATAGTCAACTCAGGTCAAGCGTACCCCCCAAATTTCCATTGGTGAATTTATTATTCGAAAGTTGAATCCGTTGGTAGTTGCATTCCGGCATGCGTAATGAGCCATGTCAATTCACACGCGATTCAGTCACAAAATTTCTACCGGCTCAGTTTCCCTGAATTTGATGCAAATGTCTTCTAAGATATTTAATCCGTTCAAACATTGTCAATCTGACCAAATACAGAGAAGTTCTCGTAAAATATTCACTGCTCATTACGCATGCAGGAGCGCCGATTTGAAGTTGACACTAGTTTCGGGAATGGACTTACGGATTCATTTTTCAAATAATCAATTCATTAATAGAATCTTGGGGGTACGCTTGACCTACCTTGACTGTAAACTTCAGCCTAAAAATTCTTTTCATCAAATTGTCAGCCAAAATAATTGTCTTGATTGTCAATTAGCCTTACAAGGTGGATTAAAGCATTTTTATGAAGAGTTATTTGAGTCTTTTATAAGCCACGTGACCTAAGAATATTTGTTGCTCTTTCATTTCCCTTCCCGCATTTTAATTTGAACACTTTGAAAACAACGGTGCTGTAGTTTATGTTGGAAGCTCCTGACCGTGCATAATCCTTTGTTTTTTGTTCAAAAATTGTGACTGAATAAATTAATGCGATGTTTCTGTTGGTCAGTAAGTTCAATTTGATAGGAATTCTATCGAACGTTGTGCACGGTCAGGTCTAAAAAAGCTGACAAAGACATATAACAGTGCAGTCTAACAAGTTTCCAAACCCTGAATCCACTTTAATAACACCAGGTGGGTTCATTTTTTTCCCCTGTCTCTCTTATACTGAAATTCTCTGCAAACGAGACTTGGCCACTATCTCATAGAATTTATTTTTCTTATTGAATACTCGAGCCATTTCTCTTTGTATGGTTTTAGACGTTTGCTTCCTCTCTTTGCTGTGCATTGTTAGGGGTGTTGTAATAGATTCTAATGATCAATCTTCTGATTTTACATGCACAACTCCTGAATCGTGATGGGTTTCACCTGAAAAAGAAGTAAAACTGCCACAACTTCTTGCTTTCATTCTTTCAGAATGGTAAAAGGGCATTATCTCTTCCTGCCAACTTATCATGTGAGTACTTATACATGTATATCGTTAGTAGATTTTAAAATTAACACTTACAGTACATACTCATTTGTCAATAATTTTTTTAAATAAGTAATATAAATGTTTGCAAGTACCACGCTTTGCAACATGTTTTAAGTTTTCAATTTACTGCGGTTTGCTGGCAATACAAGAGATCCTGATGATCAGTATAAACAGCTGACTGAAGGTAAGATTTGCTGTATGTTACGTTATCAGGCACTATATCGGTCCCTGAGGAGAGAGGACCGAAAACTATAAAAAAAAAAAGACACTAACTGGGTTAACTTTTAATAACCCAATCAAAAATTCTTCCAAAAGTAACCTGGTTAAAATAGCTTAGTGAGGTTAATTTTTATGAGCGGCCGCACTCGCGAGTGTGAAGAAGGAAAAGTTGAACTTGTACGCAAGGTGGAAGGAGTAAATTTCCAAAATGAAGTGCTTGCATGCATGGAAAAATAAGCCTAAATTTAGAAAATTCCCGCCATAGCATTGAAACGCCCTAGCTCTTAGTAGTTCCATGTAGAGTCAAAGCAAGAGGAAGCGGGTCGATACCTAGTTGTTGCGAACTTGACGCTTGGGTTCGTCATCGAATTGCAACTTGACTTTGGTTTACTAGAGGGCGAACTGTTTTGAAAACACTCTAAATCTGTTAAAACGAATCACGGTTCATTCCATGCTATAATGTAATTCAGAAATTTGTTAGCCGACTCTTTCCTTCAACTCATGCGGGCTGTCCACCATCCATCTTCCAATAGCCGGACGATAGCGCGTCAGTTTTGATTTTTGTCAATGCCGTGTTAATTTCTATCAACTGTGTTTCTAGGAATATTTATCTCCTCTGTGACAATTTCGTCACACTGACCGAACAAAAAGGTAAATGGGCAAATAGATATACAAATCTGAACTATCATAATGATTTCACTTTATGATGTTTCTAGCGTTCAACCGCGTTCCTGAAGAGATTTATTTACGTGGTCCCTTAGCTGTGGAAGCCTATAACAAGGCTCTTAATGAAGGAAAAACTCGTTTCAAGAGGTTGCCGATCATGGTGATTGGACAAGATCGCTCCGGAAAAACTAGCCTTAAGAATTCGATGATGGGAAAGGCCTTCAACCCAGACGAAGACAGCACAGTGGGGATAGATGTTGGACCCTCACATTTCAATGTCTCACGTGATATTTGCATGCCAGGTGAGAATACCGTGAACAATCAAGCACAGATTGATTTCAGAGAAACCCTCTCTTTTGAGCACCACATGGCTCGTTTAGTCGTTGAAAGTTTAACTCCCAAAAACATTAATTCAAAGGAGGATTTGCCGTCAAAGGAGACAAAAATTGCATCATCAAGTGTGGCATCAAAAAATTCAATGGAATCTGTTCAAGAATCTGGTGCATATTCTGCAGCTCGCCAAGAAGAAAAGAACTATATAGTCAAGATTCCAGATGAGGTAGCAGAGAGGATAAAAATCTTACAAAAGGAAATTGAGAAAGAGAGAGTTGGAGACGATGCGGAAATGTATTCAATCGTTTGGGATTTTGCTGGGCAACCTGTCTACTATGCAACGCATCCACTTTTCCTCACACAAAGAGCAGTGTACCTGTTAGTTTTTGACCTCAGCCGAGGTCTTCATGCAAGAGCCGATCCCACCGTAAAACAAGGAATGTACAGCATGATTTTAGACAACCACGATTGTAAAAGTAACCTAGACTATCTGGATTTCTGGATGACATGGGTTGCTTCAATAGCCAATCAAGATGAAGACCAGCAGATACGTTTGGATCAATCACCAACGAATATTCCCCCTGTGTTCCTTGTTTGCACTCATGCTGATAAACCTTGTGGTGAGGCAGATCCATTTGTGCTAGCGCGTGAGGTGTTTGGTTCCTTGAAGACCAAGCCGTACAAAAACCAATTGTATAAAGACGTGTTTGTCGTGGATAACACAAAGTCAGGGAGTAAATCAGAGTGTTCAGAAGTCAAGCGCTTGTGGGAAAAAGTCGTTGCTGTTGCCAAGGATCTACCACAGATGAAAGAAGACTACCCGGTAAAGTGGCTAAGATTCGAAAAGGCTCTTCAAACCAAGGTAAAAGATGGGAAAAAGTGGATTTCTCTGGAAGATACAAAACAGATTGCGTCCAAAATGTGTCACATTGAGGATGATCGGGAATTTACAACACTGCTGGACTTTCTACATAACCAGAGAATCTTGATTCATTTTGACAGTTCTCTACTTTTGAATAATATGGTCATCTTGGATCCTCAGTGGCTGGTCGACTTGTTTACGTCGGTGATAACCGTAAAGCCTGGTCCCTACGAAGGAAAAGAAACAGAATTGTGGAGTAAGCTGCAGACAGAGGGCATCATAGAGTATAAACTTTTGGAACTTGTGTGGGAGCCTTTACGAATTCCAAAAGAAATGTTTTCAAGCCTTCTAGAAATCATGGAGAAATTCAGCTTACTTTGTCCTTGGCCATCATCAGATGCTTCATGTGGTAAGCAGTATCTCGTGCCCTCCATGCTGATGTCTCATCCACCAGAGGATATTATCAAGTTGGTAGCCTCCTCACAAATTCCATCCTTTTATATCAGGTTCGAATCTGGGCAGGTTCCTCCAGGCTTTTTTCCCCGACTCTTGCTGCAGTTTTTTCAGTGGGGCCAAGACGAAGTTTGGAGTGCAGAGAATCCTCAGTTGTACGCTAATTTTGCGCGGTTTTACACCTCTGCAGATGACGACTGCTCTGTAATTCTTCGATGCCATTCATCGTGTATTGAAGTTGTGGTTCACAGAGGAAATGTCAGGGCAAACCTGACAGAATCTCTTCAATCCAAGCTGAACCTGTCGGCAGTTCCCAACTATGATGGATTTGAAAAGTGGTGTGCTCGCGCAGTGCGAAGACAACTGGAATTGATGCTTGAGCGCATGCGAGAAGAATTCTTTTGGTTTAAAAATATGAAATATAAAGTAGGTGTGATCTGTCCCGTTTGTTGCCAAGAACGTAAAGCCAATTACTGCTGCAAAAATCACAAGCAGTGGTGTTGTGAGCAAGAGGAATGTCTGCACTTCCTGTCAGAGTCTGATTTGCAGGAGGCCAAAGACTTCATCACGTGTCACGGGTGTCCTACTGCAGAAATTAACAAAGTTCACGTCAAACGGTTTGCACCTTGGTTTGAAACTTCCGATGAACAGGTGAATAGACTCTAACTCTTGCTGTAAATTACTTTAAAACATTTACTACCAAACCCGGTTATATTTTATCTATCCTTTTAGCGTCAGTCTTTGGTTATCCCAGACACTCCAGTCAAACACTCTCGCTTTATTAAACCTCATTATTTTCTCACGAGAGCGATTACAACAAATCTATTAGAAAGAGTGAAACCCGTATTAAGTGGTCCCCACATTAAGCGGACACGATCGTGAATGAGTCCTACTCTTTTCTCTCCTTATTACCTGTAAAACCAATCTGGTTTTAATGGACATCTCGATCTACCACACTAGCGATGGTCCCGTGCGTGCACGCTTAATACAGATTTATGTAGTGTTTTCTAAATGCCCTGTTGGTTAAGACCGCAGGAAATCGCCGGCACTTGTTTCTTTACAAGTGATGTTTAGAGACAGTCCTTAACACCACATGTAAAGCAGCAATAGGCCCTTTGAAGCTAGGTGACTTTCAGTACACTACCCCCCACTCCCCCACCCCCCCTTCGCCAGCCCACAAGGCAACTTCGATCCATAAGATAGCGTTCAGAGCACTTAAAATCAACCTTGTTTAATTATCTCTTCCTTCTTTGTTACAGGCTATAGCTGAAGAAAGTGAGCCAAGACCTTCAGCTTCTGGAGGAGGTAAGACTGCCACACTAATAGGGTGGATGGATAATGTCAACGAGTGAACTACGTTATTTGTGTAATTAAGGTGGCTCCTTAATTAATACAAGAGCATTTAGCTGTGACAAATTTTCCGTCATAACTTTTTCGACTTTAACGCGATGGCTGCGAAACTTTGGAAAGAACAACAGATATCAGTCGGCAATAATACGAAATATTCCGATTTCATTGATGGTAAATATTTCTTGAGAAATTAGCGCTTAAAAGGACCCTAATGTTCAAAGAAAATCGCGTTTAGTAAAAAATTTTGCTGATATTTTTTACTGAAATTTCTGGTATCGGCTTTAATTGATATAATAAATATGCCAGAGGAATTTCAGAAAAATCGTTGGAGCAGAAAAGTCACTCAAAATTCAGCTGTGAAATTGTTTTGGAATTTCAAAAATAAATTACTATCAGGTAGAAGGAGCCACCAGTTTCAATTTTCGGGACAAGTAAATTCAACGTTTGCTAATTCTTAAAACAAAAGCCGATTGCCTATCGTGCTATTCTTTAAAAGGTACTTTTTAGTTTTAGAAGCACTATAAATTGCTCCAAACCTTGCTCTGAAGTAGAATTACTTGTTCTTCGACAGTTTTAAAATATCCCTTGGCAGTTTTGGCTCAAACTCCTGCCGCATACATTTTGATGCATTGCAATGCATTTTCAACGACTTTTACTACTGTTCGTTGCTTCCAACTCAGAAAAAAAGTATTGAGATTGGACGCTACCTCGTATCAGAGCTCAGATAGAACTGTCCAGCACCTTTGTTTATGACTACAAAATGAGCACGAGCGGCAGTTCTGCGAGGAATTCGCACCTCACCCAGGGGGGACAAACGACAATGATGACCATGCCTGTGAACCGAATAACATCACAGTACAAAATAAAATTATCGCAAAAATACTGCCCGTGAATAAATTTACAACTCTGAAATTTTTGTCACTCCTTTCTTCAATGAATGGGTATTTTTTTTCTTGATTATTATGTTTTGCTCTGCAATACATGTTTATACAGATCGGTTCACAGACATGGGCATCATTGTCATTCGTCCCCCCTGGCTGAGGTGCGAATTCCTCGCAGAGCTGCCGCTCGTGCTCATTTTCTGGTCATAAACAAAGGAGCTGAACAGTTCTATCTGAGCTTCGATACAAGGTAGTTTACAATCCCAATACCTTTTTCCTGAATTGGAAACAACATACAGCAGGAAAAGCCGTTGAGGATGCATTGCAATACATCAAAATGTATGTAGCAGGAGTTTGAACCAAAACTGCCGAGGGATATTTTAAAAATGTCGAGGAACAAGTCATTCGACGTCAGAGCAAAGTTTGGAGCAATTTATAGTGCTTCTGAAACTGAAAAGTACCTTTTAAAGAATAGCACGATAGGCAATCGGCTTCTGTTTTCAGAATTAGCAAACACTGATTTTACTTGTCCCGAAAATTGAAACTGGTGTCTCCTTCTTCCTGATAGTAATTTATTTTTGAAATTCCAAAACAATTTCACAGCTGAATTTTGAGCGACTTTTAGTCACGGACTTCTGCTCCAACGATTTTTCTGAAATTCCTCTGGCATATTTATTTTATCAATTAAAGCCGATACCAGAAATTTCAGTAAAAAATATCAGCAAAATTTTTTACTAGACGCGATTTTCTTTGAACATTAGGGTCCTTGTAAGCGCTAATTTCTCAAGAAATATTTACCATCAGTGAAATCGGAATATTTCGTATTATTGCCGAATGCTATCTGTTGTTCTTTGCAAAGTTTTGCAGCCATCGCGTTAAAGTCGAAAAAGTTATGACGGAAAATTTGTCACAGCTAAATGCTCTTGTGTTAATTACGGAGCCACCTTAAAACCATTCCGACAAAAATATTCGTCTCTTCAAGTGGAGATATCTTAATCTACTTCTAGCATCCCCTGGTAGTTATTTTTATATTGCAAACTTGGTAGCCTTCGAAATGACTAGAATATCCCAAACAAACCACTCTGTCCTTGCCAAGGATAGCGCTACAAAGTGCCTGTGCTTTTTTTACCAAGTCTGAATGCTGAAAGTCGAACATAAAGTTGTAAAAAATCATTGCCTTTCGCAGGAATTGATGAAAAATTGCTTGTACTTTCAAGCAAGGCTATAGAAACACTCATGTCGCAGCCGTGTGACTCCAGAGAGGTAGTACTTCAACTGAAAGACTGTTTGAAACTGGATGATGTTTCCTTAAAGAATCCAGACCCTGAGACCAAACGATTGATTCGTTGCCTTGCAAATAAAGCAAAACAGTCCAACAGACCTGACGTGGTCAGAGAATTGAGAGAGGTTGCACCGGCTGGAACTACAGGTATAAAGTTTGTTGTGGGGGTTAATGTAAGTACGGACGCGGAGATAATATTTTGGATTGCTGGGGAAAGCTCGCGGCTAGCGAGTTCAGCGAGTGGGGAAGGCGCGAGTTTATCTAGGAGAGTCCAGGCATGCTTCTCCGGAAAATTTTGAAATATAGAGTTTCTGAAATCAACGGAAATGCCTGAGAAAATCTTGCAAAAAATTTTTATCACCATTCTGTAAGTTTTCTGAACAAAAACGCATATTTAGCGATAAAATGTGTTTAAGATTAGAAGTACTTTGCAAATGAAAGAACATTAAAAACGGCAAAATTATTGGTTTGGCTAAAGGCCACCAGCCCCATAGCTCAGTGATCCCCCGACCTGCTTAATGAAATATTGTTCATGAGCAACGCACAGGTCAGGATTAAAAGAGGCAATGATGAAGCTTGCGGGATAAGGAATAGATCCCACACACCACAGGATAGGAAGATAATCATCATGTGAAGTGAAGTTTGCTCAGTATTGGTGATTTTTTAAAACAAGGACGAAAAATGTTCCGAAACATTTCCGTACGAACAATAGCACAGTCCGAACATTTTACTGTCGGGGGATATTTGACCGAGGCGTATATATGCAATATCGGCGGTATAGACTGTATTTCAGAGCAGTTGCTTAAATCAGTAATAGCTTCACTGTGCTTCTTTTCTTGGCCTTGTGTTAAAAAATCTACCTTCTAAACAAGGCGGGTCAAAAATTTCAAGAAAAAACAAAAATAATGTCCCTAAAAAATGTGCGAAAGTTGTTTTTCACTCAGTTTTTGTCTCAAGAGTGAATTTCTCTATCCAGCTCCTTCTTCCTTTTAGATCCATTTTGTTAATTTCTTTAAGCCCAGCACTGATTTGCTACCCTTTTTTATCTCGCTCTCTTTCCTGTAGGTCCTTTGATGCCCGAGTGTCTTGATGTTATGAACATACCTACTTCTGAGATACAGAATCTTACAGTTCATTTAAGCGGTGAGTGTCATTTATTTTGTGACAGGTTCATCAGTAATTCTCATTTTTGGAATTAAAAGACAGCTCAGAATGGTCACAGAGAAATAACTTTCGTTATAATTGTACGGACCTCTGAGAGTGAATGCACTATCAGATTGTATGTGATCTTTCGAATCTTTTAATTGCATCTTAGAGTGACGTTTATCGGGTTATTAGCAATATACGCTAGAGGCCTAACTTGCCTCATGTTACGCCGAGGGTAAATAAAGTTTATTTGTCACCTTTCACACCTACAATGCACTTTGACAATGTTATGACGTTATTTTATCTTTAATATTAGGGCAGACAGATAAAAAGACTGGCGTCAGTTTGTTAATTAGAAGCGCTGCACTTCGCTATTAGCTTGGTGGGAAAAATGGAATCTAAATGATCGCAGGCAGTTTTTAAGATTTTACCTTTTAGTGTGGTAATTATCATATTCCCTTAAAGAAAATTGCATTGTTCTTTTTTGTAGGAGGACAGGAGTGGAAGCAGCTTGCTGAAAAACTGGGCTTGGCTCCACACGAGATTCGTTTCCTTGATAACCGGGTAATGAACCCGTGCGAGGCTGCAATTGCGTTTATTGCTAGACAGCGATACATCACTGTGGGAGAGCTGTATGACACGATAAGCGAGTGTGGGCTGCCAGTGTTTGCAGACATTCTATGAGGTGAACATGACGCAGTTAAAGTACAACTTACAAATAAAGTCAAACTTCGCTTTACGGACACCCACTTAATAAGGACACTTAATACGGACAGTTTACTTTGTCCCTGGTAGCCTGCGAGCAAGCTCTCCTATTTGGGCAAGCAAAGCGAGCCTCATGAGAACGCACGGGCGTTCTCGCGAGACTCGCCAACCTCGTCCCCAGGGCTTTTCCCTTAATCACCCATTTTTTAAGGAAAAATCCCTGGGGACGAGGTTGGAGACTCGCTTCAGTCGCCCAAATACAAGAGCTTGCTCGCAGGCTATGTCCCTGGAGGAAAGAAAGCCCTAACATTTTCTCTAAATTCAGCCCTGTTCATACGCCCGTGACTTTCTATACCCCCCTCAGTGTCTGTATGAACGGGCTTTGCCTGTATTTTTAACCTGTAATTTATATGTTATAGATCGGTTCGTGACCTGTGGGATACATAGAGATGAGCTTGTGTCGCAGGCGTCGAAAGGGGAGGGGAAGGGAGGGAGGGAAACTAAGGGAGAGGGGAGTTGTGAGAGAGCAGGACGGAAGGAGACGTCCCTTTCCTTACCCCTTTCGCGCTTTTCTTTCTTATTTCGCACTTAACTTTCCGATAGATTTTTATATCATCTTAAAAACATTTTAAGGTAACAGTTATGGTAGATAATCCGACGCTGATCCCGGTGGTCAGTTGGATGGTGTCTAAATACATGTACAAAAGACAACTAGTCGAAAACTAAGTAAGGAAGCTATATTTTAAATTTGTAGATCAGAGAACTAAAATGGCGATTTTTTTAGATTAGTTTTGTAAAAGCTTCCGTATACTAAGTGAACACCTCGGGAATTCATAAATCTTGTCGGCTCAACTAGAGCTGTTCGTTTTTCTAAAATGGGATCTCGCAAGCGACCATGCATAAACTTTTTGAGGGCGTTTGCTTACGAGAGCTTTTAGCAGAAACTCTTTGATATGTTAATTAGTAGTTACAAATGGCTTTGTAAGAATGATATTATTTGAATATTTTTTATACCTATCACTCACGAAGTTAATGATGGTAGTAAATTTGATCAAGGAGTAAGTGTTGTCCAAGTGGCCGCTAACGAGAACTTAAAAACAGAGGACAAAACCAGCCGGTAATTCACAAAAGTAGTGGTGGTCGCTTAATAGAGTTTTACTACAAGTTCAAACGACTTTGAAACGAATTTTCACGATGCTGGTCATAACTGGTCGCTTACAAGTGAGATTGAAGTGAGTGGTCGCAAGGAGAGCTTCGATCGTATCAAAAATTAACTATACCTTCAAATGAAGTATAACAGAAAAGTCAGAGCGACAAGAAACAAAGAGAGTGAAGATTACAACATTTGTGTTGTTTCCTCAAATGCCTAAATGGCAAATAAATTTCAGTTTTAAAACATATAGGAACAGCACGGAAAAGACGGTAACATGAATTTTAAAGGTTGTTGCAAAACTGATACCCTGGCCGGTGTACCAGGGGTTTTCATGTGCTTGCGGTAGAATGTTTCGGGGTCGGGCGAAGGTTGAAGCCACGAGAGGCTAAGTCGCGAGAAAAAACTCCTGGTACCCAGTGTTTCGCCTGGGTCACTACAAAGACTCGACCGAAAGCGGAAACCCCGCATGAAACTCTCTTTCAGCCAGGGTACAAAACTAATGTTTCAAACTGATTTTCATTTTTCAACTGCTGTAGATTTATGGAACTGTCTGTCAGTAATCAAAAAAATTGATTAGTTATCAGGAGTGTAGCTAGGACTATTGTAGAGGTACGCCAGGAGTAATCGGCTCCTGGGTACGCACACAGTTACGGCTTTCGCGGGTGTGGGAAAATCGGGGATAACACTTCATTAGAAATTATCTGTAGCAGAGACATGTGGGCTGAATTCCACCATTTTATAGCTACCTCTTGTTCATCTTCCCTTCACTTTCTTTGATTTTATTAATTATTTCACTTTATTATCTATTTAGTTTCAACATTTTTTCCAGGTACGCACATGCGTACTGCATGGAGCATAGTACAGTTAGCTACGCCCCAGGTTATATTCCCTGTACCAGCTAGCGTTGACCAAATTTGGAAGTCGTTAAAACGAGTTTCAAACAGTAAAGGGGTTCTTGTATCTAGATAAAGGATAAATTCATAGTACTATTTGATAGAGGTTATAAAAAAATATTTACTAGTGTTTATATGTGTGCTTAATATAGGTTATAAAAATGCTGTTTTAGAACAATGTGATTCAAATCGTTATTTTTATATCATATATCTATAGTTTACATCTACATTTTTCCATTTTTCTCTTTTCCTTTTTAGCCATAAGAAATTTTCTTCTTATATAAAGGAGCTTTTCGAATGTTGTGTATAAACTTACCAAACTGTGCTGTTCAGACTTCTCATTTCTCAATGACCAGGGGTCCGTTTCTCGAAAAGCTGTTCTATGTTTGCCGAGTTGGCATTTAAGATCAAAGTTTTAATAATTTAGAAATTGATACAATTAAATTATCAGTTAACGAAGCAAAATTGGCCGGTTTGTGAGCTACGAACTGTGTTACAATTCAACAGGTTTTGATTTCAAAATCTGCCTTCGGACCCAAAAAGTAACCGGGCCTTTCGAGAAACGGGCCCCTGGTCTTTGAATATAGAAGCGAGGCTGGAGACGACCTTACTGAGCGCTTACTATTTGTACGGAAATTTCGAATGCTACCGGAATTTTTGTTGGCACCGAAACAGGAACGGAATTGAGTTTTACCAATTACAAAATACCTGTAAATTTTTCGCTTTCTCTCGACATGAAGCCCGGCACTAGTAATCCAAACAAATGGTATAGAAAATTTCGGTTGTTTCGGTAAAAACGGAAAAAAGGTAATACTTCGAAAGGTATTACTTTTTTTCCGGAAAATTTCCACCGGGCTGAACCGTTCCATTTGAATTCTCCCCGGAATTTCCGGGTTTTCCATACAAATGGTAAGCGCTCCTTGTTTGAGTCACAAACCTTAATAAACTGTTTTTTACATGCAACTGATCACAGGTTTCTAGCAAGAGAATGAAACTATTTGCATATGAAAAACAGGAAGGTTTGTAACATGACAACTCCCTTCCATTAAAGTGAAGGCACTGAGCACACAACGATAAAATGGCCTGGACCCATTTGTTCAAAGGTTAAATAGCGCTATCATTATCCAGTGGACAAGTATTAAGGGAAGCCAATTGCGCTATCTAATATATGGCGATTTATCCGGTAGATAACGTTATCCACCTTTTGTACAATTATGGCCTGTTGAGTTGGTTAAATATGAATATAAAGAGAGCTCTTTGTTTTATAGAACCAAAAGTAACAATTTGCATTAAAAGTGTGTGAAATCATATGTTATTTTTCTCAATTTTGTGAATTGACGTTGATTAACCCGGGAATAATAATAGGGACTTAAAGAACTTGCGTTCTTTCAGTCTTTATCGGGATTATTCGTACCCACTTACTTAGTCAAATGTAGGCGAACCCTCCTGAAGTTGAATTCCAAGGGACCATATCCACGTTCAGAAAGAGAAATAAAATTTCATCGGTGCTTGTTTATGTTCTTCATAAAACGCGAATTAGGCATTTTCACGTTGTAGTCGTGCAAAAGCGGCAAAGAAATGTACAAAAAAAAGAATGATGCACGTTCAAACTTTTTGTTGTTTTGCTCATTAAACATTTTTTTTTTGACGTTTGGTCGTTGGCTGAAAACCCGTTCAACCTAGCCTGCGTTCTGGTTCATCGGTTAGTAAAGTACGAGAAAGCTGAGGTTTTTTAGTGTGTTTTTTCTTTTGTGGTTCGAAAAGTAAGACGAGTTACAGCCACGTGAAAGCTAAACCGAGGTCGAAACAGAACACGCCACTCGCACATTTCCCATACTGCACCTTTTTGCCCTCCAAAATTTTGTGTAAGCATTGTTTTCAATTTCCTTTGGGACGGCTGCATGATGTATAGAGCGTCTGCGAACTGGTGCACAATATCGTGTTTGAATCCCTCAGAGTCGCAAAAACATATGTCGGCGTTTTTGATTGGCTTGTCGACTAGGATGTAATTTTGGCGCAGCATTGACAGGCACTCCATAGCTACGAAAGAGAAAACTCTTTGATGATATCAAATAACTTTTACTTAAATAAAATAGATTTACTAATCTCAATAAAATAGATAAAAACTCGCCAAGGCGTTTTCTTTTTGTTTTTCTTTAATGTAGACCCATTCATTTGTAAATTTCGACGCTGATTTAATTCTGCGATTCCACTTTTGTCGCCATAAATAGCACGGCAAAAGGACTCCAACTGCGTGAGGAGATCTTGTGATGTACACCAGTTTTTAGACCGTTCACTGTCCCCTATCTTTTGGAAGATCGTCATGATTAATAGTCTCCTTTGCAGCCGTTATTAGGGTAGTCACGCAACGCTCCTCCCCAATAACGACCCTAATAACAGCTGCGAAGGAGACTACATGATTGAGCGAAACCGATTCGGGCGGCCATCTTGCCGTTTCCTGATATATGTACCGAGGGGCCGGCTCCCAAAGCAGATTTGACACTCACGATCATCCAAGATGGCCACTCGTAACGCAAAGTCTTTGATCTCGACGATCTTAAGGAAAAATAGGGGACTGTGCATGTATAGTCTAACCAGTCTTTGTTAACTTGCTAAAAGATTTGCTAATACTAATTGTTAGATTGGACGAGGCAGTTTGAAAAGTCTCAGATGCCAATTCCAGCGAAAGCACTGTCTGAATCATACACAGCCCATGAAAGCGAGCATTTCTGGTAGGGCCTTACACATACCATAGCCAATGAGGCTGGCAACCTGGTGGATGTCGATGTAACGTGCGTGAAATTGTAAAATTAAAGTACCAGTGAAACATTCGGTACATCAATCTTGTGCAAAAAAGCAAGATGGAGTATCTGGGCCATCTGAAGAGCGACGATATCTTATTCTAAGGCTAGTTTTGCCGCGTTGCCAGCATGTAGAATTGATTATTCATGAGGATGTCCGCTTGTTCTTGGTTGTGACCGTTTTGTTCTTTTGCCTATTCTTGTCCTTCGTGAAATACCCTAGACTAGCTGTCCCTGCAAA